GCGGTAGTCACTCCTCCATATGGCAGCCATGCAAGGTAACAGCCAATCCAAAGAGGGCTCCCCACTACCTAACTCCCCTCCAACGAGCTCTGGGACCGCTAAGACACACCTCCGTTTACTCGAGCGAGCTCCTATATCATCATGTGTTCCTGGTAGCAAGTTTCTAAAATCCTGGTTGAAATGGAGCGTTTCGAACCGTTCTAATGGATAAGCTTAACCTCTTTGCATACTTATTTTCACTTCTAGGCTATTTTTGACAATGTTAGGGTGCTGATAAAATTCTTAAATAATTCATACGTCTTTTTTAAGATTTCTGGAAGGTGTCTTTTGTTGTAAAATTGAAAATGCCAATTATTAATAATTTATTAAATAAATATTAAAAGTCGAGTTCCTAGCTTCGATTAGATGGTTATACGATATTTAATCACATCTCAATCGGTTTTCACAGTATCAGAGTGCTTATAAAATTCTGAAATGATTTTTATCTTGTTTTATTTTCTCAAAGTTTATTAATATTAATTAAATTATGAAAATTAATCAGAAGTAAAGGAATAATTAATATTTATTAAGATCTAAATTTCTATCTTCTAATGCGTTAATCGAAGAAAAATAGTGAACAACATCATTTTCGTTATTGCTGTGGATGAAAATCAATAGCGATTATCGGTTTGATGAAAATGAGGGAGAAAACGGAATATCACGCAATATCTACTCTTTTCTTCTACTATCTTAGGCCAGACGGCTGCAACGTAGAGCAACATATACACGGTCCTTGATTATACGTTATTCCTGCTATTATGGTTTATGCGGGATCGTGTCTCCATTCTGGTATTACTGTGACCGCCTGTTCTTGTTTGTTAATTAATTTGGTTGAATGTTGACGATTTTAGTGAAAAGAATAATGAAGCGACGATTGTATAGCGAAAATAATTCACAGATATTTCAGATAATTCATGTGTAGAAAGATGTTTCGCTATTTGTTGCGTCATAGTGTCCTGTAAGATAAAGTTTTTGACAAAATTGTTGTCTTTTGCTATTGTTATACAGACGAGTATTTGGCATTAGTTGCAAAAATATTTCATCAGCATCATAATTCGGGCAGCACGCAAGTATTTCTCTTTTTAATATATATACTAATATTTTACACACAAGTTGAATATGTCTTGCATTTTATACATCAGATATTTTTACACAGCTACATATTTTTATTATAATAAATCTTCAAAAAGATTAATTTTTGTGTCTCTGTGTAGAAATGAGCAATAAAGAACGAAATCAAGCAACCAAGTTTATATTTAAGTACTAGTCAAAAGTGGTCAACAAATCAATTAATCAAAGAAATGAATAATGTGGATTTCATCATAATTGCTTTTTATTAATAGAAAATTAGTCGTAAAGCTAAAACTAAAAGTCTGATATTAAATCGTATAAGAATACTTCATATTTAAAAAATTAAATTTTTTTATTTAATATTTAATTTATTTAATTATTTGTATAATTCTATACATATTAAAATAGATATTTATATATCTACATTATGTATATATTGCAGATGCTGCTATCAGTTTTAATATTGCCGATGATGTGACCAGATATTGCCATTCAGAAATTTGGGTAAAAGTTTCAGAGATTTTACTTTACAATCTGTAGGACCATCTCCACAATTGTACAGAAAAAAGACAAATGCACAGGTAAATCAACAGTATCAAAAATTAAAAGATAAATCTAAATAAAATTGAAAATATAAAAAGCAAGAATTCTACAGAATTCAAACATTCATAATCTATTTTTTCTATTGTAGACTTCAAGTATTTCCAAAAGGATTGTTATCTTTTATAAAATACAATCTTCTGTGCACATATGTGTACATATATCAATTTATATCTCGTTTGAAAAATTACATCTAGTATTTTCACTGTGTTAAATTTTATTAACACGAGTTTATCTTTGTAGATTTGAATGTTACATCCTCCTTCCTGGCTGCCCCATCACAAACGGGACGCAGGTAGTCGCCTGAAAGATGAAGAGAGAAACAGAGCGAAGCAATGGAAAAGGACTGCGACGGATGGCTGAGAGCAGGAGGTTGTTGTAATGTTACACGAAGACCAGCGAGGATGCCGAAGTGGAGCGCAACTACGCGATTAAGTTGAACGATTGTGACTGCGTGCAGAAACTGCATCATCATTCCATGAGCAGCGGCACCGAGACGGCCTCGACTGGCCTCGGCTGCGCCGCGCGTGTGCGAGAGATCTTCCGCCCACTACGTCGTTTCCCTCTACCTCCGGCACGTCGGCCAGAGCCAGTCGGTCTGAGTCAGTCGACGCTCGTGGAATCGCCGGACGGAATCACGCGCGGCGTCAGCGATAGCGCGGTTGTGACGAAAGCGCGTAATTCCCGCGTAGCGGGGCCGCCTGCGGCTAATTTTTCCTGCCTGCCTGCCTGACTACCTGCGTCGCAGGGAAAGGACCTTGTTGTGCAGGACCGTTTCGTTGCTCTTTTTTCTCGTCGCCGTCACGATTCCGCTGACACGAACAACGCGTCGCGCACAGTGCGAGAGTACGCAGCGCTGGGTCCAAAAGTATCTCAGCATGTTTTGTGCAGCAGGCAAGTCTCTTGTTTCTCTCTTTTCCTCTTAGTTCGCGCCGCTCTTCCTCTCGTTCTCTCTCTCTCCCTCTCTGTCTCTCGATCTTTCGATCTCTCTTTTCCCGTCACATTGTCCTACGATAGTTTAATTATAGATACACGGCCTGTACGGGCCTAGGCTCTCCCAAAATAATGATTGGATCAGCGTTGCATCCCTCCTCGCGCTTCTCTTTTTTCCCCCGGGACACTTGCGTGCAGTGTTTCTGGACGTACTGCCGCGAACGAACAGCTGTCGTTCCGGAGCCCGGAGGCTGTATGTGGAAATTACGTTTGTTTCTCAGTTTCCTGCCAGTGCTGATTAAGTAGCTTCTGCGAGCTGCCACTCGTGCACAGCGATATCGTGATCGATTGTTAAAGCGTCGAGCATGTATTAGAATGATTATCTCAAGAAGCATACAGATATAAAAAGATTCTGCAAGGATATGTAAGATATCATGCGAGTTGTTTGTTGTTGATGCACGGAGACTTTGTATTAATATTGCAATTGTCTTGAAACTTCTTCTCGCAGTCGTTCGATTCACATAAATATAATAAGTTGGAAGTCTAGAGATTCAAATTGCTTTATGTTACTACTTTATATTTCCATGTGATCCAATCTAATTAAATAAATTATATTTTACAGATGGATAAAGCGCAATATATACCAAATATATACAGTCATGGAACAGTACAATGGTATGAGTGATGGGAATATTAATATAAGTGATATTAGTGAGTATTTAAATGTATATTTGAGTGCCCTAAAATGCGACGCAGCTTGTCTAACGAATATTGCTTTTAGTTGAAGCCATCCAAACCACAGATCCTGTTTCTATGGCCACTATAGCGATGGACAACGAACATGTTCAACAGTACGTTGAGATTTTAGAGCAGCCTGCCAGTAAGGCTCTACGGTTTCGCTATGAGTGTGAAGGCAGATCGGCTGGCAGCATTCCTGGAGTCAACAGTACACCGGAGAACAAAACCTTTCCTAGTATACGAGTGAGTCACAATGACGTTCAGCAACTTTTTGCAAGTCCTTCTGTATACTGACGCTATATTTTCCCCCCTGTAGATTGTAGGCTATAAAGGACGTGCTATGGTGGTTGTGTCCTGCGTGACAAAGGACGCACCGTACAGACCTCACCCTCATAATCTTGTCGGCAAGGAAGTATGCAAGCAGGGTGTTTGTACAGTAGAAGTTCCGGCAGGTAACATGGTTGTGACTTTCTCGAATCTAGGCATTCAATGTGTAAAGAAAAAGGACATCGAAGAAGCTCTCAAAGTGCGTCAGGAATTACGAGTGGACCCCTTTCGAAGTATGTGATTTTGCTTCCCAATTCTCTGCCAATTTGGATGAACCGATTGTAAAGGTTTTAATCATTGCAGCTGGCTTCGAACATAGGAGACATCCTACTAATATAGATCTCAACGCGGTGAGATTGTGTTTCCAAGTATTTTTGGAAGGCTCGCAGAAAGGAAAGTTTAATAAACCATTACAGCCTATTGTGTCCGATCCTATTTATGATAAAAGTACGTCTACAAAGTGATATATTTTTATCATAAAAATATATTACGTATTATTGGAAAATATAATTCTTGCGTTTGGAATTTTCACTTACAATATATATGTTTCAGAGGCCATGTCAGATCTTGTAATTTGCAAACTGAGCCATTGTAGCGCATCAGTCGCTGGTGGGCTGGACATGATTTTGCTTTGTGAAAAAGTTGCTAAGGAAGATATAAAAGTGAGATTTTTCGAGGAGAGGGACGGACAATTAGTTTGGGAAGGATTCGGTGAATTTCAACCGACGCATGTACATAAACAAGTGAGTATAATTGTTCGATTAATTAATTGACTAGTAAATTCTTTTAATCAGTCAGTAAATCATAATGAGCAAAAATGGTAAACAAATAATTATACAACGCTTTGAAAATGAGAATACGCTTTATCACGACAACGTTGTTTTTCGCAGACGGCTATTGCATTCAAAACACCAAGCTATCGCCCGCAGCAAGTGGAGGACGTGGTGCAGGTTTACATCCAGCTTCAAAGGCCGTCGGACAACGCTACGAGCGAACCGCTACCGTTTCAGATGTTACCTCTCGGTACAGGTAGGCCTGCTTTCTGGTCTTTGCGGAAAGCATTCGCGAGAAAGAAGGCAGATTACAATACCTTCAGTAAAATCTTCTCTACGGAGAGTGCTCTTCTTACCAATGTAGCTCCAAAGTTCCCTCGTAATATCGACGAGTTCAATAATAACGAGTTTGACGCGAAAAGATCGAGCAACAAAATCTCTGCATTGCGCGCTTTGAACGACTTGTACAATGTAAAGAATCACGCGGACTTGTGTAACGGCGATTTGAAGGCGACGATTAATTCTGCGCAGAATGTAGACAGTATCGCGAGAAATGCCATTTTGAATTACGAGAATAACGAAGCGACGATAATTCCTGAAAGAAACGCGGGCGATAACAAAGAAATTGACAAATTGTATATTCTTGGCAGTAACAATGTACAGAACAATACCTTCGCCGGCGATTATAAAGACGGAACTGTCGGTGCCGCGAGATCCAACGCACAGAATGGCAGTACATCCGCACCGAAGAATAATTCGAGAAACAGATCCGATTGGTTCGATTACTCCGAAATCGGCAAGTGGGTGCAGAAAGGGCAGGAGTGTCTGAAGGAGAAGAGCGGCGAGGAAATTAAGAACAATGAATTTCTGTCGCAAGTGGCCGAGCTCGATCAGATTTACGCCGATACGCACAACAAACTGATACAATCCGCCACGGAGACGGGCGCGAATCCGCAGATGATGGACGTCGACGTCTGCGACAATCAGACTTACACCAGTCTGCAGATGGCGATGAAGAATCCGATCGAGCTGTTCGACATCGCCGACGACAGGAAGTACGAGGACGTGGCCGTTCCGAAGCAGGACGCCGAGATGCCCGCGGCGTCGCCGACGCTGGCGTCCAAGAGGGACGTGACTCGCGAGGCGGAGGAGAGACTGCCGCCTCTGCCGCCGAAACGGATACGCAAGATGCCGTCGATGCCGCTCCTGCCGCGTCCCATATCCGCTCAAACGCTCGCCGACGCCCCCGTCGAGGCGCCGAACAAGAATCTGCCGTCCTTGCCCGGCACTCTGCCCAAGCACGCGAAACAGGGCCTCTTCTCGAAGCTGTTCGCCAAAAAGAGCAAGAAGGACGGCAAGTGCTCGTCGCCGGATCTCAACAGCGATTCCTCGCTTAATAACTTGCTGAAGAGCGCCGCGCAGGACGCCGCGGAGCTGCAGCTTCCGCGTTCCAGCATGACGAGCGTCACGAGCGTCAAGTCGCTCAAGCTGGACGACGATGAGATGTACGGCGCGGATTTAACCGAAGCCGAGCACTACGCTCTGTACACCACAATGGCGCCGCACGCGACCGCCTCGGAGTTCGACGAAATGTCCTTCTACTACAGCCTGGTCGAAGGCGGAAAGATACTGATGGAAGCGAAAGAGACTTAAGCCACTTGTTTGATTGAGATTTTTTTACATACTGCCAATTGAAAATTGAAAGTAACTCAATATTTGTCTGCGGAAGGAGTATTGTTTTGAATCTGCCTTGTCGAAATGTAAGGAATATTGTCTCGCATTGCAACTGATCTTTTGCTGACAGCTCTTGTTGTAAGAAATTTACAGAGTTTTGATGACTCGTGTTTATAAAGATACGTCTGTATCGTTAGACCAAAGATTTTTTTTTTTTTTTAAAGGAATAGAAAAATGAAGAATCTCTATTTCTTGATTGCCACGTAGAATGGATCGATTCTTGCTGTAATATCGATGCATTTACCTAAGCGTGCAGAGTTCTAGTCTAGTCAAAGCGCAATTTGTTATCTTTCACTTAATATATATATATACTCTTTTAACGGTTTTTACAAGTGATTTATAAGCTCTCAGTAATTGTTATTTATTATCGAGTAGTCGTTCTTTTTTCTAGTCAAGTTCTACGCTGTTACATTTTCGTATACTCTCAATGTGCGTTGCTTTGCTATCTGTTGTTACGTTTTACATGATATTACGAGTTTATACGATTGAATTTTTCCTTCAGGTATCGTTATAGACTGCTAATCTTAAAAAAAAAAGAAAACAAGTCGCACGACTTGCATTAGCTCAATTTGTCCAGAGTTGATTCCCTTCTTTGTAACTTTATCGATGTACATTAGGGAAATTTCGACGGTTCAAATACACGAGGCCTTCTACATTCAGGGCAATTGTATGTTAAGGAGACGCAGCGAATCCTCATTAATGTACAATCAATTTGTAGATGATCCTGATTCGTTAAGGCAAAAGAGGCGAAAGCTTAATAACGGCTCAGGCCCGATATTTTACAAACCTGTAGCTGGAATCGAGAAGTGTGAGTTTCAGATTAATTTTTGCTCCTACAGCTTGGGATGGTCGACATCGCTCGCATTACATTGTATTATCATCGGGATGTGTCCAAATATGTAAAAGCCATGCTATTTATCGTCACATCATTGTTTTTCCCAACGGAGGAATGAGTATGGAAGCTAATTTCTTGCCTTGGCACGCGACACTTCATTCGATCTTGTAATCAAATTTTGCCGCTAATACTTCCTGTGTACTCTTTGCGCGGAAGGAAAATTAAAATGTACGCTTAATGTGCACACGTGGAACGAGAGGCCTTTTACGATGAAATTTGTGAAGATTTTTGTACTACTTTTATAGCAGGCCTATTTGGTACATTTGTTAATTGTTATGACAGATACGATAAATTTGTTGAGGAAACTTTTTAATATACTTTTTAATATACCGGGGTACATGCAAAGCTGTATATAGCTGCAACATTTGTACGAATTACTGTGTAATTTCTTAAGCAGTCAGTCATATTCGATTGTTCTTAACTCATCATACACTAACCATCTAATTAATTCAATCCCTTTACACCTTGAAGATACAACATGCGATTTTGAAAACTTTTTCCTATGCATTGAGCATACGATATCGCTTTGGATATTTCAGCAAAACAGAAAAAAACATTGTTGATGGACAATTTTCATAGTGCAAAGGGAAGCTTATCGATTATCAACTATTTCATTATAAAAGCATTGTGCATATTTTTTCACATGTGAACAAGGAATCTTGTTTTGTACTTTTTAAAGATGTATTTTATACCGAAACTTGGACTTTGTATTTGAAAGATTCAGGGAGCAGTGAGCTTGTACATTTCGAGATATGATATTGTATTTTTCTATTTATACAGATATTTACACGGTGGTGATTTCGAGAAGAAAGTATGCATCTTTGTGTCTTACGGGGAAAAAAAAGTTCGATGTAATAATTATCTCGAGTCATTACGCGTGACAATAAGTACTTATAAGCAAAAGTTTTGTAGCTCAAACTTTGTATAATGCGAGTGCGCTGCTCTTGTGCAATAATATAACTTGAGAAATCAACTATATATATATACAATACAGCAAATGTAGCATAGTACAATCAAATAATGTGCAATATTTGTATGGTAATATAATTTTTATAAGCTGCTTCCTTCGCGATGACAGATAAATATATTTACATATTGTACGAATTACATAATACATCTATATACGTATAGCCACACTTGGTGCAAAAAAAAAAAAGAAAAGAGTATGTCTATTTATTCTCGGCTCCCGTGCAATTAGTTTCAGATAAAAGTTTCACACGTGTGTCGCAGACTCAGGTACGATATAACGATGTTAGTGTGCAAATTCCTCACGATTTTCAATTAGACTAGATTGGTTTACGTAGTGTAGAGAATAACGTTTCTGTAGAATTCAGCTTGAGGTGAAGATATGTAAAGTTGCATGCGCGAAACAGATGCGGTAAATCACGCTTCATCATCGAGGATTGTCTCATCCGCTCCTCGTGCATGTTTATTGCTAGTTTTATTACCAACATCATGCTTGCTCTAACACTGTACGAGGTTTTTGTGTTTTTTTTTTTCTCGAATAGTAAAAAAATACACGCACAGATTACACATTCCTGTGGAACGTTGCAGATCAGTCTTTCAATATCGTGAAAGCCGAGCCACCCGGCCGAATATCGCCGTTCGGCGGTGCCGGTACAAGCGCAGGGAGTTTTCTGCAACCCATGAGATCTTCGCAAACACTAAGGTAACAGTCTAATCGAGATTAATACGAATGAATAAAGAAAAGCAGCAATTTCGGATTGCTATTCTCATCCACTTGTGCTGTTCCAGATCTCAAGTGTCTCCAGGACGAACACCGTCTCCCATGGAATGGAACAACTCTTACACGCTACCTCCCATGCAGCAGCAGCAGCAGCAGCAGCAGCAGCAGCAGCAGCAGCAGTATCAACCAAATATTCATCCAATGATGCCGCAGCTGAACATACCGGCACCAACAAACCTGCAAACATTTGGATTCGTACCAGATCAGTTGCACCAGCCGGAGCCAAACTTAGTAACGTTAAACAGAGTGACGCCGGAAAATCAAGCAGTAAACAATATTGGTAAATTTTTCTAGATATTGTACAACTCGAGAAAAAATGGTACAATTGGTCGGATGTAAATATATATAATTAGTTGTGAATAGATCTGATAACATGTATATATAATTTTATATGATCATATAAAATTCAGATCTTTTCATAACTAATTATATGTATATATTTACATCTGATCATATTAGACCATTTTTTTCTCGGGAATTTAAAATATTTATACAGTTTGTGCGTTTATTTTGAATGTTTCGTGCAATCGATTATTCACGACGTGCTGCGCGAATCTTCCAGAGACGGCCGAAGCCTCGTGCCTTTTAGACATGGACAATCAGCAGTTCAATTTTGATTTCAACTCAGCCGATCTCGCGGACTTCGGAGCAAACCTGTCCGCAAATCTCTCAACTGGATTATCCATCTCTGACTCCATACAAGTGAGCATACAAATACTTTTACCTTGTTAATGGCGCACGCGAGGCGCAAATGTTGTTTACGCAGGCTGCGAGCTTTCGTATTGCAGTGAAGATTAACTTTTGCTGACTTTAGCCCGAAGCGAGCAATGGCGAGGAGAGAAACAGCATGACGGAGCAAATCAGTAGGATAAACCAAGAGCTTTCGGCTTTGAATAAGATACTCAAACCTAACCGAGAGAATTACGGCTGAGGACTCGATTGATTTCCTGTTATTGGCTGATCGAGGTGATCGTAAAGAAGCTGCAGCTGGGAAGCTCAGAGTGTACCTTATTTGTAACTAATACATCACACGTGCTCTCTTCACTGCCTCCGGGAATCAACTGCGCTATCTCTCACAAAGAATAAACTCAGAGGATATTTCAAGTTCAAGCAACAAGAGCGTATAAGGAAAAACGTACATTTGCTTCGGTGCTCATCACTTTCTATCTCACTTACACAATTTATTAAATACATTTTTGTCTACTTTTTATTTCAACGATGCATAAACGATAATGGAGACCAAAAAAAGATACTCTATTCAGATATTATTGGTTATTATAACTTGACAAGCGTTAGGGAATCTTGTTGTTTGTGGTGTGATATAGAATTTATCTGACCAGATGCATGCATATCACGGCATTATTATCTACGCAAGATAAATTATTCAATGCGAAACTGATATTAGTGCGAGTTATAATATCCGTTCGTCGATGTTACAGATCGAGGCGTTTGAGAATTATGAATTATTAATTGAGATAACTCTGACTGTGATCAAAGTTCATGTTTTTAGCTTATGTTTTTTATGCGTACGAGCCTCTTTACGAGGAATTGAATTCCGCAATAATAATCGTCGGAAGTTGTGTCCAAGTGTAATCTTTGTGAAGCGCACGTTTTCAGGCAAACTGTAAATTGTTAGATTAGTGTATATATAATGCAATTTCTCACGTTCTTACGCATGTAAATGTATTGTTACTTCACTTTTACGCACCGTTACATTTCTACAAAATTGTACGTTTATATATGACTAATATATTTGTAATGTACGAATATTGCATCTAGAAATAACAGAAAATGTGCATTAAAAAGATATTGAAATCAACACAGTGAAAAGTTTTAATGAACGCTCCGTCCAGACGTTTCTTTTTACATTTCGCAAGAACTCCATTTGAAAATGACATTTACAATTAGAGGGAAACGTGCAACTCCCAACTCTGTTGAACAATTTTATTAATCTAAGTAACATACGGTAGTCATAATATGACATTTGTAATGTAAAATGTATTTTTACAATTAACCCAGGTAATTTATTATTGTAGTGTGATGGATATATTACAAAGAACAATATCTTATACCTAAGAACTATATCTTATAATCTGCCATATGTGTAAATAAAAAGTTGTTATAAATACACAAGCGGTTTTTGGCTCTAACAGCCTCACATTTCGTATAAATTTTGCCACTTTATTGTTGCTTTTATACAGTAACGTCACGCGTAAAAATATCTTTGATCTAAATTATCGACATCGGATGGGAATATACACAGTGGTGAATTAAGAAAAATGATACGTTTGAACAGTTCTTGCTGCAGCATTTAAAATCGATGAAATCAATCGATTACGGCTGAACTTGCTATGTCGGTTTATTGGAAAGCCGACTGCTTGTAGTTAATTAACTTTTGCTTCACGTTTGTATAATTCTTTAATCATTAGACGTCTTTTAGAAACACGAAAAGATGCGGAATTGTTTTCAATTATATGCAGCGCTTACAATCCATCGATTATTGGTTTTAATGTAACTAAGAATAATGAAGAAATATATTTTGTAAAATTGAAAATACAACATTTATTAAAGTCAAAGATTCGTGAAGTCAGTTACATTCATAGCGAAACTTGTAGAGTTTGTTATATTACACACACGCATATCTCTATTATATTAAAAGATCTATTAAATATTGTTTATAAAATATATGTACACAATATGGTGTCCTGGTTAAACCCTATGCCAATACTATGTGAAGATCGAGTGATCTGTAAGAAATAGACTCGTTTGATATATATTAAGCACCGAATTTTTATACACACGTGTTGCACACTCTAATTCGTTCATTCATTCGCACCAACAAACTGATTATACTACTTTCTCCAGTACATTTCCATACATTTGCATACTTACACACTTTGCAGATTCGCGCAACATTTTTGTACGTTTATTCCTGATACCGAAGTGAGGTATGTATGTACATAAATTCTTGATTAATATAGTTGTATAATGCGTATATTACGTAATAATGCCAATGTAACGGTATAAAATTACAAGATAATTATATTTAACCGTAGAATATTTAATTTTATAAATTTAATTACTCTACGAATTAAAAAATAATTAAATTTATAAAGAAAAATTATCTTTCTAGAAGACTTGTTTGGTTACTCTGCTCTTAAACCAACATATTCTGTCTTGGAAATCTGAAAAACATGAGTATTCGGGTACCTGGTTGTTTATTTTAATTTCTTAATATAATTTCTGTTATTTCAGACCTTTCGCATCATACTTGCTCTGCAATTATCACCCAAAACACGTCAAAGTCAAACCGCCGTCGCCTGCTCAGTGAGGTATATTGCACAATATTCGACTGCACGAATACAAAAGCCCAAAAGACAGCCGAAGAACTTGTAAAAAGAGTTTAGAATTTCAATAAATTACTGCAGATTTCTACATGAAAATTTGCGCAAACTAAATTCATACAAATCCACGATATTTTTCACAAATCTCCACGCATCTTTGCGACACACTTCTCGTCCGGCATTTGGCATGTCCGGGGATCGATCGGGCTATCGATTATCTGTCCATCTTGTTCTCCGCGACGTAGACGGGCAGCGGAGTGCCGTCGTAATATCCGTAGATCTGCGAGGACGACGACGGGGGCGGGGGCGGACCCATGGCGTGCATCACGTGCATCGGTTGCACGTAGGGCAGCATCTGCACGGGGGTGGCCGGCGGCAGGGAACCGTTGCCGCGTCCCAGGGTCGAGCCGTTGTACGAGCTCACGTACAGATCGTGAGGATTGATCTTGCCCGAATAAGCGCTCGCCGGCCGGATCATCGACGCCTCGTGGATGCTGGACGTCGCCATCGCCGCCATCCGCGCCTCCTGCATCTGGCTGCTCCAGCGCAGCCGGCAGATGCAGATCGCGATGACGATGATCGCGATGAACGCCACCACGCTGCCGACGATGCCGATGATCAGGGTGTCGTCGCTCGAGACGGTGATCGTCGACATACCTGTGGACGGTTATAATTGGACATTAATTAACAACGAAAAGTGTTGATGTGTCGCTCAAACATTTGTTTAATAATTACGCAACATCTTGGATATGATAACAATCGAATTACTTGTGTGAATGTCACTGTTGTAGAGTTTATTGCGACTGTTCTGCAGTGTCGGCGCCACGGTCCAGATGATTTCCGGCTCAGGCGTGGTGGATCTCGTCGACGGGGTGGCCTCCGTCGTCTGCGGCCTCGCTGGTGTCGTGCGGTCGCACGAGAGATGGTCCTCCGTGAGATTGCCGAGGACCATGCCGGCCAGGTGTTCGGGCTTGGCGCAGACGACGACGGGCGCCTTGTCGGCCGACAGCTTGAGCCACCTCCACAGATGCTTCGTCTCGCAGCTGCAGTTGATCGGATTGCTGTCCAGGCCGCTGATCCTCACGGAACCGCCGCGTTCGTCGAGGGCGGCCAGCAGCTGAGCTGGCAGATTCGTGAACTTGCTGCCGGCGACGTCCAGCTCGACTCTGGTGGAGCGCGGCACCGGGAAGAAGAGGGCGGTCGGTATCGCGTCGACGGACGTGTTTCGCAAGCCCAGGAATAGCTTGGCTCCGCGCACGCCGACCAGCGAGCTCGAGAGGACGCTTCGCAATCTCTCGCCGCGCAACGTCAGCTCACGCAGACGGGGATGAGTGCGCACCGACAGCTGCTCGTTGCCCACCGACGAATCCTTGATCTCGATGTCCAGCGTCTCCAGATTCGTCATGCTCTTGAGGATGCCTTGCACGTCGAAGTAGCCCAGCTTGGGGTAGTTGTGGGCGCGCAGGGATCTCAGTAGCGCCAGCGATCGGAACGCGTTCCGCTCGATTCGCGTGCAGTTGGGCAGATTCGACATTCGCAGAGAGCGCAGCGCGTTCAGTCCGTCGAAGCTGCTCTCGTTGACGGTCTTCACCTCGTTGTCGGACACGTCGAGACTCTGCAGCACCGGCAGAATTTTGAAAGTGCTGATCAGATTCGTGAAGTCCGCCAGGCGATTCCGCGACACGTCCAGGCTCTCCAGCATCGTCGTGCGCTCCAGGGTGACCGGTTTGATGTCCGCGATCGCGTTGCCCGAGAGATTCAGGTGTTTGAGGAACGGCGTCTCCAATCGCGGGATGGTCTTGATATTCGTACCGGCGAGATTCAGGGTTCGCAGGATCTTCGCCTCGCCCAGGATGCCGCGTATCGCGTTCTCGCTCAACGGATTCTCGGACAGATCGAGCTCCTTCACGTTGTTGACGATATCCTGCGTGAACACCTCCACCATTCGGTTGCGAGCGATTTTTAAACTGTACAACGACGCCGATTGCCGTTGCAGAGCGCGGATCGGTATCTCGTTGAAGCGATTGCCGGACAAGTCGATCCTTTCAACCGCGCGGATCCTGGACGCATCGAAGATGGTCTCCGGTAGGGAAGCCAGTCGATTGTCGCGCAGATCGAGAAATTCTAATCGGAGCAGACCCTCCATCGTGCGCTCGCTGAGCGTCTCCAAGGCATTGTCGGACAAGTCGAGCAACTGGAGCTGCGTGGAGTTGTGGAAAGCTAGCTCATCCACCTGTAAGAATTTTATTTTACAAACACGTTGAATTTATTAATGATGTCGATTACTTAATTCGAAACAAATATTATAAAAATAAAACTATTAATGTAATAATTTTTCTTTTTGGCCAAAGAATTTGTCGGTAAAAAAATCATGCAGGAAGCAAGATATATATTTTTCAGAACAAGAAATTATTTAAACAACTAAAAGCTATGATTATTCTTCCTTAATGTTTTCGCTACTATCCCAATATTTTACATACTGATTCGATTCTGTTGTTTGACAGATCCAGATTGCGCAGTCTGCCCATCTGCGAGAAGGCGAACTCGCTCACGTGGCGCAGCATATTCCCAGACAAATCCAGCCACTCGAGGAACTGCAGCGACTTAACAAAGTCGCTGGGAAACTGGGCGAATCGATTGCCCGAAAGATCAAGCCGTCTGAGTCGCGGATGGATGACGAAGGCGGTCGGCGACAGCTGGCTGATGCGATTGTTGGACAAATTCAGAATCTCCAGGCCGGTGCCGGTGTTGAAGTGCTCGCCGATGAACGACGCGAGCTTGTTGCCGCGCAGATTCAACGAGTAAAGATTAATCAAACCTACAAAAGCGCCGTTATCGATGCGCTCGATGGCGTTGTACGAGAGATCGATCGCCGTTAGATTGTAGAGATGCTCGAAAGCACCCTCGTCGATCTCCCGCAGCTGGTTGCCGGCGAAGGAGACCCGCTCGAGCGACTCGAGATTCAGCAGCAGCACGGTCGGCAGAATCTTCAGCTCCGTGCGCGACACGTCGAGATCGATCAAGGACGAAGGGAATATCGGCGGAAAGCCGCCGTACAGCGGATTGCTGCTGAGATTCAGATATTGCAGCCGATGCAGGTACTTGAAGGTCTCCGGCGAGACGCGTTTCAGCTGATTGCCCGCGAGATTCAGCGACAGCAGATTTCGCAACGGCAGCTCGGCGATCGCGGTCAGGCGATTGTAAGACACGTCCAAGTGAATCAAGGTGTCTTCCAGGCCGGCGAACGTGCTCGGCGTGATGGCGGACAGCATGTTGCCGGACAGCTCGATGCTGATGAGATTCTCGAAGCTGTAGAACAGCCGCGGCGGGATCTCGCGCACGAGATTGCGCGTCAGGCCGAGGGTCACGAGCTTCGCCGATGTGGCGCGGATCAGCTCCGTGGAGAGCGCGGCGATGCGGTTGAATTGCACGTGCAGGTGGGCGAGGGACGGTAATCGCGTGAGCGCCGAAGCGGGCACTAAGAGGATGTTGTTGTCTTGCAGCGACAGCCATTTCAGCTTCGTCAAGCCCTCGAAAGACGATTCTTCGATCTGCAAATAAATAGTTCGCGAAGGATAGAATTGTTTTATAACGATTAATATTTTAGGCGAATTCAAAGTTTGGAAATTTACACAATTTAATCATATTTCGTATACTTTTTCAGTCATTAATTCTTCGATAAAATTTTCGTGGCTAATCAACGCCAAAAATTGTGCGAAATTAAACTTTTGATTAAGTTGAAAAATATATATATTTATATATCGTTTGAACCGAATAAAAAATAAGCCGGTTACTCGCTTGGCTAGAAAACAACGTCTCGATGCGATCGTTGACACGAGCGTAGCGATGTGAAACGCATCAAGATCGCGCAGTGAGTCCGCAAACGGGTTACACACACGGAGTCACGAGACCGATTTCCGGTGCTAATCGTTTCCGTGACAAATTCTCTCGTCCGCGCGCAACAACCGTGTTGTACATACCGTGCGCAGGGCGTTCAGGCTCAGATCCAGTCTCGTGAGAGCGGAAAGGCTGGAGAACGTGTTGACCCCAAGCCGGCCTATGTCGTTCCGGCTGAGATCTAATACTTGCAGCTCGGTCAAGCCTGACAACTGTATCCGTTCTATTTCCTGCGCGAAGGTAAGAAAGAAAACAACGTTAAAACACAATCGCTCGCTGAAACGACGGATAATTCTCTAAGTTTAAATTGAAATTCCGATATAATCGAGCAAGTTATGCCAATGACGCGGATGATGATCATCCGCGATGATACACTCACGGTGATCAGGTTGTTGGAGATATTCAGGAATTTCAGGTCCGTTAAGTGCCTGAGCGCGTCGGTGGGAAACTCTTGTAGAAAATTAGCCGAGAGATCCAGCTGCAGCAGACTGAACGCCCCTGAAACGTTAGAACGTTCGCTCACTCGCCGTCCCGCAGTTTTGCCAGATAGCAAACGTCGGAAAGTAATTTCGTTATCGCGGCGGGTGGCGCAAAACGGTGCGCGCGCGTATTACGGCGAATATTCATAGCGATTCGTGCCCTCGAGCAGGCGTGTTCCTGAATTTGTGCGTATAGGCGCGGAACTAATCTAGCCTCCCGTGAGAACATCGGTGCCTGTGGGAACGCGAATTAGAGTTCATTATTTCGTCGAGGTCGTTCCTCGAACGCAGGGCATCGCGCGCTTTCATAGCCGAGGCGGCCTCTTCTCACGCCTTGATTAGCGCGATTATTTCTATGAAACGACGCTTTCTTCCGGAAAAATCGGTCACACGGTCGCTAACAGCTTCATTTCCGACGTTTGATCCAGCCTAGAAATAACCCTTAATATGTATAACAGTATACACTTATTATTCCTTTTCAATTCGCAATTCAGGCGCCTCGTTATTTCCGCTGAAGAAAAATCGACTCCAAATTCGTCGGAGAGTCTACTTTCAAATTGAGATGGTGAATCGTGGAACATCTTTCTTTTATTGTAAAAAATTGAAATGACGAGAACGCTTGCAAAAATATTATCAGAATAAGATTTTAAAAGTTTAGCGAACAGGAGGGCAACTTTCTCGGGGCTTGAAACAATTCAAGGCGCAATGAATCTCACCTCTGAAGACGTCGCTGTTGAACCGGCTGAGGGAATTATGGGAGATGTTGAGAAACAGC